ATATAAGCCTGGTTTACGTTCGAGTGAGTCGTAATCGTAAAAGTAGGTTTTATGTCTATGGTGTGTGCGTTTGTGTTGTCTGTGCTAATATTGTAGTTGCGCGCGCATTTTCGGCGTAGGTACATCCTTAATAATTAACTTTGAACATACAATGTCCAAAAATAAAGTATTTAAGCTTTGAAGGACTTGTTTTTAGGAGTAAGGGTTGCTATAAATACTTTAATACATAATCTTAGTTACATTATGTTTGTACGTTGCGTTTTTTGTTTCGGCTTGTGTAAAATAAAGCATTTTATTATACAACTTAAAAATATGCTCTTATTATTTATGGGTATTTACTCGGAAGTCGGATTTGATGTTACGAAATCGGCAAAAGTGGTGCTTTGCAATAGAGATTTAAGACCTAAAAACTATTCTATCTCAGATTAATTGCGTATATCAATTAATCCATAAGGTTTCTCTCAAAATCAGAATTTCAATGTAAAATTAAAGTGACTTTTCAATAGTCAATTAATAGTTCAAGAAAAAGGTTACCATTGCATGAGCCACAACCTATTTATAAGACCTAAAATATTTAACACTGGTTTCGCATATAAAAAGTTACGGAACATATCCACAAGTGGCATATGTGTGAGTAACATTCAAACCCACTCATTGCTACATGAGTCATTGGAAAGGATACTTCAATAGTAGTTCGTGATTGAAGTGTCTTTTAAACAAACTACTGTTGCAAGTGTATCTAATGGCTAATTTTAGAACGCATGACACTTCTCTTACAAACATTGAGCGTCAATTAAACTAGGTCTTGCTTTTCGATTTTGGTTTTAATAGTAATTTATTGGAATATTAGTAAATATGTTCAGACAGTTTGGTAGGCAGACGTTCTAATAAAAATAGTGAAATTGCGTAGCGAACAGACGAAGGAACCTAATGGTTTTTAGTCAGTAAGAATCTGAAACTTTTCGCCCCACCGCGGGAGAAGTCACAGTACGTGTTTCTCCCCTTCAAAAAAGTGTTTGTAGGATGCCTCTACATCTGCTTCTACACCTTTATCCCTATAGCTTCCAATCAGCCGTTGGTAAAGTCCGAGCAAGGCCTAGTTCAGCAATTAGACTGCTGGCTTATAATATAATCACTTCACCCTCTCCCCTGTTTCTCTTGACTGCCTTACTAAAACTATCACTCTTCTCGATCTTTGCTCCTCTTCACCTCCCTCCTTTTCTCCTTTTGAGCTCAGTAGTGTCTCTGAAGATGATGTTAGAAAATCTATGCTCGCCATTAACTCCTCGGCGGTGGGTGAGGATGGTTTATGCTCCCGCATGTTTACCCCTATTCTAAATCACCTTCTCCCTATCCTTACTCACATTTTCAATTTCTCCTTATTCTCTTGCTCCTTCCCTTCTGCCTGGAAAAATGCCCATATTATCCCTTTACCTAAAATCAACAATCCCTCGTCTCTTACTCATTACCGACCTATTTCCATCCTGCCTTTTCTGTCTAAAGTTATGGAACATATTGTTCACAGGCAGCTAACTTCATTCGTAACATCTAGCAACCTTATCTCTCCCTATCAATCTGGCTTTCGCCCCGGCCATAGCACTGTCACGGCACTGCTCAAAGTAACCGATGACATACGCTGGGCCATGGACAACAAGTCCCTTACTGTTCTTGTGCTGTTGGACTTCAGTTCTGCCTTCAACTCTGTGGATTTTGACATACTGTTGGGGGTCCTGAAGGCCAATAATTTTTCTGTTTCCTCTTTAGCCTGGTTTGAGTCTTATCTTCGGGGTCGCCGTCAGCGGGTCCGCCTCGAGGAAACCTTATCCGATTGGTGCGACCTTGCGACCGGGGTCCCTCAGGGTGGCGTCCTCTCTCCTCTGCTTTTCTCCATCTTTATCAATACCGTTGCCAGGGTCATTTCTTGTAATTACCATCTCTATGCGGACGATTTGCAGCTGTACCGTCACTTCGGCATGTCTGAAGCTCATTCTGCTATCGATGCCATGAATCGTGACTTGGATGGTGTTGCTGAGTGGGCCAGATCTTTTGGCCTGCAAATCAATCCTCTCAAGTCTCAGGCCATGATCATCGGTAGCAGATATTATCGTAACACTTTCGACGTCTCTGGCCTCGGTCCATTGCGTTTGAATGGTACAGCGATTCCATTTACCAATAGTGCTAAAAACTTAGGTGTACTCATTGACTCGAATTTATCGTGGGATGCCCAGGTGAATGAAGTCAGTCGGAAGGTTCATTTTTCTATTCATTCGCTGAGGCGCCTCCAGACCCTGCTGCCTGTGAAAACAAAGATTTACCTTGTCCAAGCGCTGATCATGCCTCTGATGGACTATGCAGATGCTTGCTATCTGGATGCCACTGAGGAGCTATTAAATAAACTTGAGCGATTGCAAAATCTATGTATCCGCTTTGTATTCGGTCTTAAGAAGTATGATCATGTCTCCGAATTCCGCAATAGGCTCAAGTGGCTCCCTATCCGTCTTCGCAGGAACACTCGTATTTTATGTCTCCTCTACAATTCCCTCTACAATCCAACTTATCCCGCTTACCTCCGTGACCGTTTCTCCTTGGTGCGTCCTCCTGAAGTCCTAACTCGTTCTCATCTCAAGTCCAACCTTAAAATCGTGCCTCATAATACCGACTTCTTCTCCTATTCTTTCACCGTTTATGCTGTGAGACTGTGGAATTCTCTCCCGCCTAACATTCGTGACGCTAAATCGCTCGCTCTCTTCAAAAAACTAGTTAAGGACCATTACCTTTCTTCATGAGTACTTACAGTTACGTTTATTTATATGTGTATCTTATTTATTGTTATTATTATATATTAAGTATATATATTTATATGATATATATATACATATATTACCTATTTGTTATCGTTAGTTCTTTTTTTTTCACTTTTGTTACACACTGTGTCTTATATTTTAATTACATTTCCTGTCTCAGGTCTACTGGAAGAAATTCCAACAGGAATAAGTAGCACCTTTGTACTCTTATTTTTTTATGTATTTTCCTCTGTGCTGTTTGTGTGTACATAAATTATTAAATAAATAAATAAATAATTACGACGGTGTTAGGCAGTCGAGAAAATTGAGATGGAAAATATTTACATATCTTTAAAAATCATATTAAACTTATTTTAAAATGAAACTAATTCTATTACCCATAACTTTGTAGATAAGCAAATAATTATGTACTGCAACCTCATAATTTTTTCACCCACATACTTTTATGACTTTTTCGAAGGCTGTAATACACATTGCTAGTATAAAATACTTATTTATTTTTAGAAATAATCTCTATACAATTATTAGTTCGTATTAGACAAATCTAAAAGAAGATATAAATAAGCCCAAATAATATGAAGTTTAACAGAATATTCGCAAACACAAGCAAAACGCTTTTAAATTCAGATTTAAAATCTTATAAAATTGTGCCGACTCGACGTGACAGCCCTGATAGGTAAAGTCGGTTAGTAGGTTCAGTAGAGCGATGCATTCCGTTTAGTTCCATGCGGAGTGACGCGTGTACGTATAGTGGTGATGGATAAACAAAACGATACAGGTATATTAGAAAATAGATTTTATTATTGACTGCATTTAAACATTTTTATTATAAAAAAATGTATTTGTTGCCTATCCAACCGTGTGACGCCTTCTGCATCAGGTTCTTGACTCAACCATCTAACGTTTACCTTCTCAGGTGTTGCTCGAGGCTTTTAGCCATTAGGCTTTCGCCGATACAATGATCGATGAGTCTACATACCAAATGTCGATAATCTCATGAGCTAGATCAAGATTATTGCTTTGTCTCTTTCAGCTTTCACAAGATCGCGTTATATGGGATCGTTTTTATTGAAAATAGTTATGCATTTTTATTGAACAGAACTACATCGATTAGAGATTTTTACAAAATGCCGCTTACGCGATTTTTTATTTATTTATTGTTACAGTCTCAAAGGACTCGAGATCCGTGCCCTTTTCATACAATACGCTTACGCGACTTATAAATCATGTTTAACTTTTATAAAAAATTATCCTACTTATTAAGATAATAGTTTTTTTTTTAGGTCCTTTTTCGCGTTCTTGTTTGAGTGGTTTTGGCTTTGTGCACTGTGTGTTACTTATGGATAATTTTCATTGTTCTCCGTTAGTTTTATTGGCCTATTTAAAGATCAATATCTAATGATAATGAGTCTGATATTTACCATTGTGTTTATACTATTGATTCAAATCAAGTGTGATTTCATGCGAAATACGTAATAACTTGGAACATTTTACTCTACCATTTTTTCCTTTCTAAAATTGCAAATCTAGAAGAGAAACACAATCTAGCAACATAGAACAGTTAAAATTAGCGCGATCGATTTTAAAAACAGAACCCAATAAATTTATATCGGTGCTAAATCTAGGTCGTTCTTGAGACTATTAATATTTTACCCCTATAAGAAAGTTCAATGACCAACTATTATCTGATATCTTAGACACAGATGTTTAAACTGCTAATTTTAAAAAGGTAATAAAGGATTTAAAAAAAAACAGTTTAAATAAAAATATTATAATAGCTAATGCAATTTTAATCGCGTACTTTCGAAAGTACCAAGCCGTTGGTCCGCGTTTGAACGTCTGAATTTTTAATCCGATCGAAACCTGTCTGCCCCCCACCGCTCACAAAGGTCTTTGCAGTTTTTCAAGCGAACTCGAGTTTACATTGTGTTATTTTACTTAGAACACAGAGCTATGACGATCACGTCACTGCTCAAAACTGCATTTACCATTTTAAAAACATTCCATTCTATAATGATTTGAAAATCGAGTATTGTTGTCGTGAGTCACCGGTGACTAACCAGCCAGTATTAAAGATTCTCTATGGTGTTGTGACATAAATCCTTTTTAGAGAAAGTGTACTAGTTTTGCGGATCGAAGGACCATTTTTTTTTTGTATTTATTGGTGGATTTATTTATGAAAAATGTGTCGTGCAGATACAAGGACGGGCACAGATGGCGCTGGTGATTCTGGGACCCTGGACATGGGGAGCCGGTCCTCATTGCACACCGGCCTCAACATGTCCGAAGATGAGCATTGGGAGATGAATTATCATGAGGCTGCTATTTATTTAGAGGTAAGTTTACTACTAATCAAATTTATAAAACTTTGAAAATGACCTACTACCTATGTACCTACAGTATCACAAATTAAAAAAACGAAGTCTCTATCTGGCGTCTCTCTCTCTCTCTCTCTCTCTCTCTCTCTCTCTCTCTCTCTCTCTCTCTCTCTCTCTCTGAAATTTGAAACTACGTGATGAAGTTTGGTTTCGCTACACCTACTTTATGCAGATTTGCGGATGTCGTTCGTAGGAAGTTAATATGACTATTTTAGTATTTATGACCCGCCCCGGCTTGGTAGCTACAATCCTGATTTATATACTTAATTTATCTACTATTGGATAATTATAATACATATAAATCTTCCCCCTCAATCACCCTATCTATTGGAAAAACACATCAAAACTCGTTGCGTAGTGTTAAAGATTTAAGCATAGATACATAGGGATATAGCGACAGGGAAAGCCACTTTATACTATGTAGTGATTTAAAATACCTACTATTTTATCTTCAGTTTTTTTTTACTAAGAAATATTGTAATAAGTTGAGTTTATCTCATTGTTAAGATATCTAGGTAAGTAGCAAACGACCATGAACTGAACACAGCCATATTTTAAACACAACATTTTAAGAGTTATTTCTTATATCCGGTGCCTAATTGTCTTGTAAATATTAATTAAGTTAATTAACTAGTTATTTCTTAGTTTCATAAACTATGTTGCGGTACAGTTGTTATGTCATGTCAGGAAATTGAACATTTTTGGAGGTTTTCATAAAATTCTCAGAGTTTCTATTGTTATACAAAATGTGATGTTAGGTATTCATTAACCCAGTTTTGATTATTTTTATGTAGATAGGTATATTATGAAGATGTAGAGTTACCGTTTACGTAGATATGTAGGTTTAGTGTTGTGTGTATGTAAACATATCTTCGTAAATTATAACCATCCAGTTAACTTTCTTCTATGATTTAAAAAAATCGTGGCAACACTACCATAGACTTTCTTCTGTTTCATTATACACATAGAACATATATAATGTAACATGCACAGTACACACAGACTAGGAATAGCAATTTATAGATCATACAAACAGTTCTTCCGTGAGAGAATTGAACCCACAAGACGGCAGCCAATAAGCTAATGCACAAATAAGAAAACAAAAAGTTATTCAGTTCCGAGGTCAGAGGTACCTAGTATCAAACCATTCATAAATTTTGGTTGATTACTCAGACTTCGATGAAAAATTCCTAAAAAAATTGGTATTACAATAGTAACTAAATTGTAACTTATTAATAAAAATCCGTACCTACTTAGGTACACTTTTAAATCACTGTTATGTAGGTACGAAATTAAAATCATTGTAAAATTATTTTCGGAGATAAACCTAAAAGATAAAGCAGGCATCAACAAAATCAACAAAATAATATTATTCAGCGAAATAAACTCATCAATTCAAAAGACACTGATAAATTAGCAAAGTAATGAATATTCGTTAATTGACTCGGCGGCGTAACCATAGCGACGTAGGTACCTACTAACAGCCATCAATAAAATAACTCTGGAAGGTTGAATTCAATACGACATTAAACAAAAGATTTCGTAAGGACAATAATAATTCAAACTATTGTTAATATTGCGAAAATCAAGTTGTAACCTACTTTGTAATACTGTAGACTTTTTCAAACTGCGATGGCTTTGCATGCTACTCGTACTTCTTTACTGAGTTGGTCATGGATGAATAAATGTCTTAATGAATACCTAATGAGAAGCAAAATAGTAATACAGAGTGGCATCACAATAATCTTAAGTTCAGAGACAAAAGCTGTTACATTACACTTGACTATAGGTATATGGTTTATGGCCATACCGTCTTTTCATTGGTCGGCTTACAAGTAAGACTCCTATTTCTGTTGAATCAATCTTTATTTTCAAATAACTGTTCAGCTTCAGATTGACACCTTTAACTTGGCGCAAGCTCTAAATCACGTGTTACATGAAGGACTACATACACCATACTGAATAAGTAAGATGCCAAACTATGTTAATGCTAAGCGTAATGTTGTGGTATCACAGGCTGTATAGCCTGGCTCGGAGCTGAAGATGGACCGAGATGATTTTAGTTAGTAAAAGTTTGACACTCCCATTCAGTGCGCGAGAAGTAGCTCTCTCGCGATCGCGATATCTCTACTAAATAAAAGCTTTTATTTACTAGGTTTTTTTGATAGGGGAAAATTATCAAATGACTTCTCCCGCCCAGGGTAAGGCGAGACAGAGTGTCTGGCTCTTACTAAAAACTCCTCGTTCCTTCGCCTGCTTTAAGCCTAAGACGCGGTGCCTCATTGCGCTTACCCCGCAACCCCGGCTGAACATCAGTTCTATAGGCCTCCTTAGTGGTTGTCTATTGGCTCTTTGAGGAATGTGGCTCAGGTCACTTTCAAAGCCACATATTGGACTTAAATTCTCCCTTTTCCAGGAAGGTTTAAACAATGAGAAGTTCGACTCCCACCCGTCAAGTCCTGAAGAGCTGCCAGCATACCTCAGGGTCCACAACCCTTGGTACCACGGACTGGACCTTCTTGCTTCCCTAGTGCTTATACTTTTAGCTTTTACTGAAGATCCCGCTGTGCCTACGTTTGAGGTAAATACATTTCGAATATTTTGACACTATAATACATAAGTTGAACAGAATCATCGTCATCTCTCTATCACCTAAAGGTCGACTGTTAGACAATGCCTAAGGCATTAAGTTCGCCTGTACATGTATTCGTATAAAGTGTTTAAATAAATAAATAAATCATCATCATCATCATCAGCCAGCAACTCTCCCGCTACTGGGTTGCACTTCTTCTCTCTTAAGGCCTGCTCAAGTTGGATTGTCGATTTTAAATTTATAATTTGAAATGGTAATTTTAGTTTTATAGGAAGTTTTCCTTTACCATAAGTAGGAGAGGTCTAAATAAACTTGGATGAAAATTACATTTAAGTACTTGCCATGTTATGGAAAAGTATCCTCATGGTTGAGAAGTGAGAGAACTTTCTATATGTAATATGTACTTTCTATGATCATTAAGATACCACTGACATACGGTAGAGGAAAACATCGTGAAGAAACCTGGGCTTATAATTTCTAATTACATATAAGTCTAAAATCACCAATCCCCCTTAATATATACCGCAAGCGTGATGATTAATAATTTAATATTCTCCGTGCTAGAAGAGGCCTTTGCTCAGCAGTGGGCACTTAGAGGCTGATGATGTGATAGGTAATATGTAATAATGTCCCGTATATAAAATACGGGACATTATTACATATTACCTATCACATATACACATAATTCCAGTTACCAGTATGGGCACACGGGACGATAGAACTGTTGGCGCTGACAGTGATTGGCGTGGAACTTCACTTGAAGCTCAAGTGGATCGGATGGGGCACTATACTGAAACACAAGAGGACAATGATAAAGGTACCGTGTTTATTGGTCAACCTTCTTTCAAATCACATGTCTGTCTTAATACTATTTCGATCATTTTGGACCGATCATCATAGTATAATCTTTTGAGATTATCTATTTACTCAAACTGATCAAGTTTGTCATGTTTTAGTTTTTAAGAAATATGGTCTTATTATTGATATCATTTAGAATCTTTTTTGGAACTCCTTTTTTGGATCATTTGATATGAGAGTAGACCTCACATTTTCATTGGTCATCGTTTGTTCTGCTTTATGGCAGTCAATGATGAGAATGTTCAATTTCCCATAAAATAATTTCTTAAATATCATCTACATCCTACATTATTACTTTATACTTTCCAGGGTATTACACTATTAATAATGGTTCTGGAGGCGGTGGTAGTATTATGCAGACAGTCTTCCCATTTCCGAGTCACCAGAGCTCTGCGTCCCATCTTTTTGGTGGATACCAGGCATTGTGGAGGAGTCCGGAGGTTCATCAGACAGATTCTTCAGTCGCTACCACCGATTATTGATATGTTAGGTATGTGTTTGGAGCGTTCAATATTTCTGGGGATATTTTGGTTCAAGTGCCTATAAATGAAATTATAGAAAAACTGCAACTGCAAAAATTCTGGCTCTCGATTACAATTTCTGATTTGAGCAACCTTTCTTATGAATTTAGTCTTTCAAATCTGAGAAATGCCATAAAGTGCCAACAGGCTCGCTTGCGTCTACCGCATGGAGGTTATCTTGGACCATAAATACCGATATTGAAAAGTCCATATGGCATCAAATATCTCATTTGCTTCCTTTGCTACACTTTAAGGGAATAATTGAATATTCAATCCTTTCTCTTCTTCCAGGTTTGCTAATGTTCTTCGTGGCAACATACTCACTGCTGGGCTACTATCTGTTCTCGGAGCACGTGGACAATGGCCACTTTCAGACCATCAGCGACTCCTTCGTCAGCATGTTTGTCTTGCTCACAACTGCCAAGTAAGAGATCTTTTCGTTATTACAAATGCAAAAACACAAACTTATTTTTCAAGTCGATTAAACCTAAAATGAATTTACAATATTTTCCTAAATATGGTTATTATGAACAATTATTTGTCAATCGGTTAGATAGATAGTTAGATAACAGCCGGTTAAAACTAGTGTGTCATCATTAGCCTGTAAGTACCCACTTCTGAGAAAAACCCTCTTTTCACACAGAGAAGGTTTGAGCATTAATTACCACGCTTGCTCAAGGCGGATTTGCGAATTGAAACTGAAATTATATGTACGAGTAAGTCCAAGTTTTCTCACAGTGTTTTCCTTCACCCTATGGCAGTGGTGTCTAAATAACCATAGAAAGTACATGTAACTCGAAAAAAGACACATAAGTATTTTTATTATAACTTTCGTGAGACGTTCTAAATTATTTATAATGTTTTCGGCTTACTCACGTAATAATTTGACGAGATACTCGACTAGTTTCAAGCCATGCTGGAGGCCCATATTCATGAGCAGCATTCCGCAAGTCGCGCTGCTACTGGCTACTCGAGTCTGCGCGCCCAACGCGCCCTCTGCCGCGATTCACGCGCACTTTCTTCTATTCGTATCCACATTAGTATTTCCTAGGTTTCGAACCCTCCCATCATGCATGAGATTTTTTGCATCATTATGCAGGGTCCGTAACCTCCGGACGACAACACGACGTTGTAACAAAATTGATGTATCTAACCTTTAAATCAAATAAACGAAAATAGACGTTGTTTCAGCAGAAAAAGTAATAAACTTATGTATGCTTATTTCCAGTTTCCCAGACGTCATGATGCCCTCATACGCGAAGTCCAAATGGTACGCCGTCTTCTTCATCCTGTACATCATCACAGTCCTCTACGTACTCATGAACTTGGTGAGTCTGAATTAAATAAAATCAACAACAATTTCTGGTCCTTTTGTGTATTTAAGGACCAACTTTTTAATGTTATATTTTCTCTCTTTGTGCACAGTATTTTGCAATGGTCTTTAAAGCACAATAATAAGGCCACACACAAAATAATAAGGCACAATAGTGCCTAAGGAATGAGAAGAAATATGCTTGAATATTCTACCATTTTCCACCAAAATAATAAAGACCATTGCAAAACACCACAAAGAGAGAAAATATAACATTAAAAAGTTGGTCCTTAAATACACAAAAGGACCAGAAATTGTTGTTCATTTTATTAGTTTAATATGCTTGTGTACCCACATTTTCCTAATTTAATATTTCCAACGTAGTCAAACTATAACCTTGATTGCAAGTGTAAGCGTAATTACGTACCTGACTAAAATTAGTTAAAACTTAAGAGACTATTATCAATGTCATTTATTGACTACTAGCGACCTTCCCCGGCTGAAATGTTGATACACACGATAAACCTTCCTCTTGCACTCTTGAATAACTAACTTTTGAAAAAAAACCGCAATAAAATCAGTTGCGTAGTTTTAAAGACTTAATCATACATAGGGATATAGGGACAGAGAAAGCGACTTTGTTTTGTTAGGACTAGTTTCAAGCCTTGCTAGAGGCCCATATTCATGAGCAGCATTCCGCGACACGCGACGCGGCGATTGTCGCGCTGCTACTGCTACAGCAGCGCGACAATCGCCGCGTGAATATGGGCCTCTAGCATGGCTTGAAACTAGTCGGGTATCTCGTCAAATTATTACGTGAGTAAGCCGAAAACATAATAATTAATTTATTGTTTTGATTAATTTTATTATTATTTTATTTTGTTGTCCTGTCGTTCAAACTCTTTTTTGTTCTAAACAGTTTTCTTTCTTTCTTTCTTAGATGCTGGCGGTGGTGTACGAGACGTTCACCCGCATCGAGCGCGAGAAGTGCCGCGCGCTACTGCTGCACCGTCGTCGCGCGGCGCGGCACGCCTTCCGACTGCTCGTGTCGCGCCGCGCGCCCCACGCCGTGCGACTGCGACACTTCGCCGGACTCATGCGCCATTATGCGCCTCATTACAGTCAGTATAACTATTTTCGACGATTGATTCTTCTATATTCTCTTCTTCATTCTATTCTTATATCATCATCATCATATCAACAATTTGCAATGTTTTGCACTCCACTGCTGAATCTTGTATGTGGCGATGCACATAGACCATTCAATGAGAAAAATATAAAGCTGTACATCGGTACAAGTTCTACTCGGAGCTACTAAAGTTTTGGCATGCAGCTAAGATAAAAGGTTTCAGGATCACTTCACTTGGTCGGAAGATTTTCTAGAGACTTTTACTTTATGTTCCTTGAATAGGCTTCTTCAAAAGAGGATTTTGCCATAATTTCCAAGTCGGGCAGTCAGGTTCAAGCCTAAACAAAAGGAACATAACGTAAAAAGCCCTGAAAAACCACAAACATATTATTTTAAGTTTATATCCTTAACGTGCATTGTAGTTCAGAACACGTTTACAAATCCTTTGAGCTATGTCAATAACTCTGACGTATCACATTGCATTTAATTCCGCAGGTGGTCTGGATGTGTACCTAATGTTCAAGCAGCTGAACCAGTCATCATCAGGCGGCCTCTCCCGCAGCGAGTTTGCCAATCTGTATGAAGTGTTTGCCTTGCGCTGGGCAGGCCAGCAGTCCCGGGCTCCATGGTACTCGCAGTCTCCTTTGGAACCGCTCGGCAGAGCTGCTGCAGCTGCAGTACGGTGGCCTTACTTCGAATACCTTATCTGTAAGTGGAGTTTATATGGTGGTATACCAAAAAAATGGTACAACAAAGCAGAATACTTGTTGGAGAAGCAATCGGTTTGCTAAGGTTATGAATCGGAAAATTTTGTTTAGAGTTTGGAATGTTTTGAGCATGTATGGATTTTTTGGTTCAATTTCACGCAAAAATCACTGAAAGGATCTTAGCGAGATGTGGCTTAGAGATCGATTATAGTATGGAAAACACATGGACTCCGGTTTTACCTGGGTAACTCGGGCAAAGCTGCAGGCCAAAGCTTGTATTGACTGATTTTGAAACTGCATATTTAACCCATGTCAGCTATTGTCAATTCTTCTTATAATCCTGCGTTTTGTCTGATTCGATTCTTGTGTTATCTTCCAGATGCCCTGATAATTGGTAATGGTATGGCAATGGTGCTTCGTGTATGCGAGGCGGCCGGGGACCTGCAGGATAGTGCGCGGCTACTCTGTGCATCCTGGGATACCTGGCTCTTCCTTACTTGTAAGATTTTCTTTCCAAATTTGTTTTTCTTCTAAGTTTATAGATCTAGAGTTGGCGGAAATCTTTTGAACCGCTTCAATTCTATAATAAGATAGCAAACGAGCAGATGAATTACCTTATGGTAAGCAATCGGAGCCGCTCATGGCAACACTAAATGAATAAAATTACGAGTGCGTTGCCGGCCTTTCAGAGATTATTGATTTTAATTAAAATTAGTACTCACTAGGGAAAGGAGATTTTTGATCCTTTTCTTTTGTGGTCTTTTTACCTGGCCATAAGTATAAGCTCCTAGCCCAACCTTGTCAAACAGCATCGGTCTTACATTAAAAGTAATTGCTTCACCATAATTAGTAACTCTTTCGTTCATGGTTATCATCAGCTTTTAATTTTAACGTTTTGTCTTTCTCCAGTATTCCTCCTAGAAGCAGCTCTGCGTATGATGGCGTCAGGTCTGGCAGTGTACCTGGAGAGTGGGTGGAACGTGTTTGACCTGAGCGTGACGTTGCTGGCCCTCATGGGAGCTGTGCTGCTCAGCATTGCTCCTAAACTCTTCATCGTAGTTATCTTTAGACCGTTGAGGTAAGAACTCCAGGTCTTTATTTGTTGTGTATCTTGGTGAAAAATGCTTAATAATATACAAATAACTAAATAATATACAACAATGTATTGGAACTCGCTTATACCGACCAAACGAACTAAAGCCAACTTTTCTAAAAATGATGGAACCACCAATTATTTGCGTATGCAAAAAAATCTGAGTCAAGATTTTAAAAGCGTCTTTACAGCAACTAGCGTATAATTACAACGATTAGTGACATTCATTTAAATATTTACTGGTTTCCGCACATGGCTTCGTCCGCCTAGTTTGTAGATAAAAAGTAGCCTATGCCCTATTCCGGAGTGTACCCTATGCCTGTGCCAAATTTCATCCAGATCCGTCCAGTCGTTTTGGCGTGATTGAGTTACAAACATCCAAACATCGTAACTTTCGCATTTATAATATTAGTAAGATTGTTATTCAATTTACATTATTCTTTTAGACTAATGCGCCTTTACAAATTGAAGAAGCGGTACCGTGATGTGTTCGGTACCCTGGTCCTTTTATCCCCTCTCATGTCGTCTGCTGGATGTGTGATGCTGGTCATGTATTACTTCTTCGCCATCATCGGCATGGAACTCTTCGCCGGCTACGATCTAAGGAACTGCTGTGTGTAAGTATTGAATTGGAAAGAGTCTCGTCAATAATTCTTTAGTGGTCGCGAAAACTTGCACAACTAAGGCTTTCAAAGACATAGTTCAACACATTGTTGAGATTTTTTATGTTCACAAATTCATTTTTTATCATTCTTCTTTGCACGCACTTGTAGCTTTGATTGGGTTACAAGTGTGATCGCAAAGCTTACTCGTTACCATCAGGTGATAAGTCTATTTTTTTATGTGATAAGACGGCAAACATACATACGGATTACCTGATGGTAAGCAACCGACGCCGCCCATGCATTAACAGAGCAGTTACGAGTGCGTTGTTGAACTTTTGGGGATTAAGGTGTTGGAGATTTAGGAATTGGGAAAAGGGAAAGCTTGGACCTTCAGCAACCTCATTTACACGGCGAAACAGCAGTATGGTTGTTGCACGCTGGTTTTCTGGGAGGCCGTGGTATCACTCCGGTCGAGTTGATCCATTTTTACCAAAGCGTGGCATTCCCACACTTAAAATGCCACATCTTCTAGATTTTCCAAATCATAAAAAAACCTAGCCAATGACAGAGACAAATTACAATGTCTTCTCGTACCATCTTCCTCATCAATATTTCCATTTCTTTCAGCAACACAACAGTGGAGGACTTCTACAAGTACTCGTTGAACAGTTCGACGGCACTCGGCTACTACTACCTGAACAACTTCGAAAACATAGTGACCAGTGGAGTCACACTCTTCGAGCTGACCGTAGTCAACAACTGGTTCATACTCATGAATGCGTACGCCACTGTCGCTGGACAGTTCAGCAGGATTTACTTCATGGTAAGTCATTTGTTTAGGATCGGACGCGGACGGTGAACGAGCATTCTGATCCCCTGGTGATGCGCAATCAAAATTGGACCCCAACGAGGAGTTACGAGTTTGTTGAGACGAAATTTTTAGGGGTAAGGGATTCGAGGGTTGGTGATTTGAGGATTGGGGATGGGGTTAAAATGAGGAATTCGCCAACACTAACCTGAACCAAAAGCCCGGACAGAAATAGGGCTGTAACGCTTCCTAATAAACCTGAACCTTCTCCTCTTGAAAGCTTAGAGGAATTGATAACCTCTTTTGTAGGGAGGTGTGTGTTATATTTTGGTCGAAAACTGTCAAGGGCTGTTTCTGGTGGTGATGTTTACTTATATTACTGGGCTGGGCATTTAATGTCTGGTCCTTGTATCCAGGTAAAATAAGAACAATAGCTTAGAACATTACCATCGAGCAATGTGGAAATATCCTACTCATATTACCAATGTGAATGTTTATGAGAATGTATGAATATATGTTTGTTATGATTTCACACAAAAACAGTTGGAACGATTTGGTTGTTTGATATGTAGACAGATAGGTCCCAAACCCTGGATTAACATATAGGCTACTTTTATCAACATGCCACGCGGAAGAAGCCGTGGACGGACGCAAGTGAAAAATTCTAGGTCTTCTTCTTGTTTCTAGGTGTTCTACCTGTTCACGATGGTGGTGCTAACGATAGTAGTGGCCAGTGTCCTGGAGGCATTCCGGTTCCGGATACAGTATAAACGAAGCACTACTAAGAGAGACGGTAAGACACTTTTTTGAAGGACATGGCATCTAACGACCAGATTTCCTATTCCGAATTTTGTTTTATATCGTCGGTAAACAAGCAGACGGGTTACCTGTTGGTAAGCAATCAGCGCCGCCCATGGACACTTCTAACACCAAAGGACTTGCAACAAGTGCGTTGCTAGGTGTTTGACGGTTGAGGATGACGTAGGGGAGAGGTTTGGGCCTCTAGGGTAACCTAACCTCACTCACACGGCCAAACATATCAAATTCGCCATACGTTATCACGATTGACACGCTTATTTGGCACTCTGATTGACCTGCACCAAGTTAAGCTACCAATCAGAGATCTACACTCGGTTATGTTTCCATAGCATTAACGTAATTGTAACTCCCAGTTATCACTCTGATGAATAGCTTGATTAAAAGCAACTGACATCGCCCATGGACATCCAAGGCCATAGGAATTGCAAGTGCGTTGCTGGTCTTTCGGGGATTGAACACAATGCTAAAATTATTTCACACCGGTTTTCTGTGAGGCCGTGCATCCTAAGCCTTCTTTTTTATTCCTCAGAGGAGAAGCTTCTTCACGAAGAAGTGCACACGAGTTGGGAGGAGGCTCAAAGGTTAGGAGCCAGTGGGGACCTCGCTGATGAGCTGAGGCCAAACCTGCCACCGGGGGTAAGAATATTTTCAAACAACTATTTTTTTCGATGCCACCTTACGAATTACCAAGTGGAAGTAAGAGTCTTCTAAGGGAAACCAAAATAGGTCTTTCCATTTCAAGATTCTGTTCTAAGCTACCATATTAGTCAGAAATGTGGCCTTATTTCGATAAGGCTCTGCAAATGTAAATCTCAGTAGCCTCATTTTTTATCAAATACAAATTCTTTGCCAGACCAAGATCAGAGCAAAGAGTTATACTTAGTATCTTTTTCTTACAGGTGGAGGTAACATTCATCGGATCCCGACCTCGTACGAAGGAGGTGTTACAGAGGAGAATGTATCAGACTGATATACAGAAGTGGCTGGCGGAGGAAGATGAGAATGAAGGTAAGCTTATCTACTAAATGAAATCCAATCTGTCAAATATATTTTGAAAATAATAATGTCGCAGTGACGCCGATAATTAATTGTAGTAAGTTGATTTACTGTTCTGTATAAGGATGTTTGATGTTTCCAGGTGTACCGCCCTCTACAACAATAACGTCAAGCGAGGATCCCCTCGCCCCGCCACTCATCCACCAGCCCGACAGTGAGAACAACCACCAGATGAGAACAGGTTACCAATTGTAGAACATAATTCACTTAGCGCTGTACCACAGGCTAATGTTCTTCTGGGACGCAATCAAGAGCTTATGATGGACTCTCTGAGGATGGGCCCTCAGCTGGCTACAAGCTTGACCACGGGTACAGGACGCTCGATACAGAGTTACCGCATGAAATATAAAAAAAAATCGTTTAGAAAAAGGAATTGACAGTTGACAGCTTTACAGGATTTGACGTTTGACGCAGTGATTTGTTTTGTGAACGTATCCGAACTATTCCATAGATAATAGTATTTACTTTTAATCGAGCGAAAGAATTTTGTACAGTTTACCTACAGCAGAACAAATGGAATAGGTACCTACCAAAGAATTCCATTTTTTTTAGTAAGTGAGGCTTGAGTGATTTGTATTCGTGTGTATTCCAAAACGTTATTTAAGAGTCGACGTAGAGATTTTGTGTAGATCGCGTACCTTTTGTAGTTAGATGACGCCCTTACCCGCCAGCTACTAATACTCTGCCAGTTAGGACATTAATATCGAGTAGTGTGAATGTATACTAAAATAATAATTATAAAATATTCTGAGAGTTAGTTTAACAACTGTGATAGAATTTTATGAAATTAAAAGAGTGTGTATTCGATTGTACAGGCAGTTGTATAGAAAGACTAGATTATTTCATTTAAGTTTTTTAGACAGGTAGGACTTAGCTTTTTTGAACATATGGCAGCTAGTGGCTGAGCTAGAGCGAGAGACAGATAGTGGACACAGATTAAAATGAACAAAATATATACCTGAATAGGAATTCGACTGTTGTTCATAAGCTGATCTATAATTGTGTTTTTTAAGTTATTGCAGTTGATATTTTCTTTTATAATAAATTACTTCAACTAAAAAATATCTATAATGAGTACAACAGAGCATAATTTTGTTTATTTAATAAGGATAAATCTTGTATTTAAATATAAGATTAATTCAATTTTGTAAAGTTATTATAAACATGATATTATAGATGAATCGCCTTCGTAGGTTAGGTAAATTTTAATTAAAAGTATTTAAATGATCAACTCCTAAAGAATAACGGCATGTAGGTGTTTCGTAATAAATTATAACATAGCTGAAAATTCTCGAATTGGTAAAAAGACAAATTAAGATACCTACTGGTTTTGAATAATTTATACTTAAAATACCTAAACATCTTTCAATAATATTCATAGCATGAAATGTAGAGGCAATTAAGACGTTTAATTTTATGAAGTTCTAACTGATTAATTAGTTCATCGAAATACAATAAATACAATCGCAACTTCTTACTTTTTTAGGAGATTATGCTCCTTTCTTTTTTTACTAAGTACCTACCTATGTGGGTAAAAAGGAACCGAATTGCCAAAGAGTTTTGGCGCCATATTCTGTAGTATTGCCATTGCTACGTAACAGATTATTGCATATTTTTTTAACCTGATTCTGGCTTATTTTTCTGTACAATATTTATTACATAATTTTAAGCGTATATTTCGAACAAGATGTAAAGTTATAGCTAATTTAATAACCCACTTATCCTTAGACTTGGCGACTGAAGAAAGAATTTTTAAATTCATTATTTGTGAAATGTGTCAAAATTATTTCTTTAGTATATATGTAAGTCTAAAATAAGTGAATATTGAAACAGTTATTGAGTTATATTGTCTCTAATCAGATGCTTAGATTTTAGTCTTTTGTTTTCTACCACCAACAAACCTAGGAGTTGTACATAAAATCGTAGACAAATAGTCATTATAATGTGATAACTATTATAAAATATGGACCATGTATCGAATTATTTACACGCTTTACCTATTTATTTTAATTATTAATTTACATTTAACCAAATATTTTTGTGATTTCCCTTTATTTTGGCTGCTCAGTATTAAGTTTTGATGTGAATTGAATAATTTCTTTATTTATAGACATGTTAATTTTTATTGTAATTTGTTTGAGTGAAGTTTTTGAAATAATGTTTAACTGTTAAAGAATAATTCGGTTTTGTTTTTTTTAATAATTTTAATGAGAGTGTGTGTTGAATGAAGATATCCATCAGCCTTTAATAAACATATTTATAGACAATACAAGCTAATGTTCAATAACAATGAATAATGAAAACCTAAATCTTATTCAAACTAGCTAAAACCGAATTTTAGATTTTAATAAATGTTTTCAGTTAAAAAAATTACTTAAAAGACTTATACCTAAAAGAAATTAAATTCGAACTTTCAAAAGGAAACGGTCAGCCAGCTAGCTATTACCTATAACCTGTAGGTAGATTTAGCTAACAGAGATGGAATTTAGACATTAAACAGAAGACTTATACCTACTGCTGAATAATAATCAGATTTGGCGGGGCAAGAGGGATTGTCATATTTTGAAAATTATCCCGCTCCTTCTCCAAGCCGGGCAGTGGTACACCTTTGCGTTTGCACCGGCAATCTAAGCGCATTATGCCAGCTCCAGGATATCAATTTACAAAAATAATTTCGTCAAATCTGCGAAAATTTCATCTCTAATAGTCAAATCTAAACCGCAAATCTAAACTGGCCGTTTTATATCGTCTTCGCCTTCGTAAATAAATACTTAAATCTGTAAATAATGCAAAATGTTACCTGTTGCATAATATTAATTATTTAGGTTTAGATTAATATAAAAATTAATATTGTTCTTCACAAAATATAAATAAATACAATTGCAAATTTTTGAGACTAGACTCTTAGTATAAAATCTAGACCAAATCCAGTGGAAGGTAGTTTGATCCGTTTGCGTTTCTAGTTTTGAAGATAGGCATTGAGTAAGCAGAAGAAAATAGGGATTTTTCATAGACGGACAACCATCCATCCAAAATACCTATAAATTTTTTTTTAACCTTTCTAGCATTATTTACCAATCTTCTACATTTGACAGGTAGATGTTGACTTTCTGAGCACAAGATGGCGTTAGTGTAAGATCCAATTGGTGTGAGAGAATTAGCTATTAACAAGCCATTGCACTGTAATTTTATGTCAAATAATTATTTGTTTAACGGCTAATAAATTCAGTTTTGTCGAGGGGCTCGACTCGTTTCAAGCCACACCGGAGTGCATTGCCCGCCACGCGCATCCAACATATATAACTAGTTCCTAGTTAAATAGTTACATGGGTAGGCTGTTAAACAATAATTAATTTCATATGTTTCATAGGAGCAACTTTACAAGAAAATAAAGCTTTACGGTAATTAAACAAACAGGTCTTACGCTACAATACCGCCATCTGCAGGGCAAGAAGAGCCCTAAATGTAACTCATTTTAGATCGAATGGATAAATGAAAGAAGTATGATATTAATGGTGCTTACGCTTGTATGTAAAATATCGGAGGTAGATAGTCTATTAAATAGCATAATAGTTAGATTTAAGACTAATCTGGCATAAATACCATTGTTTTCCTAATTTCTAAACGTTCAATTTACAGCGTTCATAAAACAGCTATATCTTTCTATTTTCATTACATTATATTATCATGGACACGATAAATACATATATCAGATATATTTACATCTTTTTTTTAGTTAAATTAAAAAGACTCAATAAGGACAAATATGGTGGCTAAGTCAGGAATTTAATCATTGTATTGTCCACTTTATAACACCGAACCATAACGTAAAAATTCTATTAATAAAAACAATCATGATTTACTTTTCAAATTTTAACTTTATCAATATCAATCACCGAGCTACATCAGGTCAGTCTAGAGTAGGATTCAACCTGATGAATGCCCTAGGTAACGTAAGGTAGGGACCTCAAGAGCGCCCCTAAATTTATTTCCTTGGCACCTCCGCAACCTGGTACCACTGGTCTTCTTTCCTTGCGTTAGTTAAACTTTTATTTTAAAGAATTATTAGAAACTAGAGAAGCACAGCAGGGTGCGTAGATTAGGTCGATAATTTGACTCCAGTATTTAAGTACCAAACTCTTCCAAATTATTTTAATCATTTAATTTTAGTCGGTTATTTTTAAATAATTTAGACTTATTATATTTATGTATAAATATGTTATTGACTTTTTTCAAGTGTGAACATGTTTCGAATGTTGACGCCAGCACATAAAAGCTACTCTAATTTGTTAATGAATTTTCTATGAAATGTAAAATATGTTAAGGATGTATATGAAAGTAGACTGGTGAAAATTGGGTGTCATATTGGGGTGAAGTAATATTTTAGACTAGAATAGCTTATTGTGTTGGCGTTTAAATATTTTTAGGCAAGTGCCCAATTTGGTTAGGGACACCATAATCGCACAATTGGCAGGCAACCCCGTTGACACCAGGCAAGATACTCTTCATTTATACAAATCCCTATACATCTATACATAGTTGGTGGCGCGACGTGGTAGTACGATTATAGTGTATTAATGATATAAACCTCCTCAGTCAGTGTATCGCCCCTATCTCCATTAAACTAAGGTTGAATTTAATAATAGCAGTATTAAATGTTTAGTTTGCGTCACAGGCTTAGTAATATAATAGAAATCACATTGTTGACATGCAAGAGTAGTTGTAAACATGTGTTAATTTATTCATAAATAAATAAATAAATGCACTTTTAAGTACATGATTGCTTTTTACTTATTCACCATTTTGAATATCTTAACTATAAACCAGGTACCTACGTTCGAAAAATAGAATAATAGTCCGTCAGTCTGTTCGTCAGCGAAGCTAGTTGGTTGTTCTAAAATGAAGATTCGAATGGAGAATAACGAGCAAGAAACTCCTTCATTACTCATTTAATAGCTAACTGATAAACTAATGGTTACTGGATAGCTAGAAAGTATCAGAAAGAACCTTATGTAGTAAGTTTGTTCTGTATTCTGAGTGTAGTAAGTACAATAAGTATTTGTTCAAATAATATTTGATATCAATCCAAAGGGTATAAATAAAATAAAAAAGAAATAATATTCAAACATTTTATTCTGTTTCCAAAATTACTAAACTTTTTATTTACTCAACTCTTCTAAAATACAATTTCATTATTTTATTCAGCACCAATTAACACTAAATTATTGAGCGCGACAATATAAACACGTACCTACTTAAATATAATTAAATATACTATTTTGAGACAATAATATCTAAGACTGTAATCTTTCGATATTATAGGAATGTCCTATTTTGAGAAAATGTCGCTGAACAAATAACTTTTCCAATCAGGAAAACGCGGGAAATATTTTTGTAGGTAGCAACACTGGCCCCGAACCAAGAAGGTTTTATGACACGAATGTCTGGGAGACATGTGATGGGTTTCTATCACAATTATATTGGAATAATAACAAAATAAGGAATAAGCAGTCTCGTGGAAGACAAAGGCATGATATAGGTACAGTATTTCCACAACATTCATTGCACACTGATAAATATCATAAAATTACATTGAGACTTTTATAAATAATTTACTCGTCTAAATATCCATATTCATGTGTGCAAATTTACAATAATCAGACTATTATAACCTTTAAACACATATTTTTTATCTACAATAACTGCAGCAATGAATAAAATAATATTTAATAGGATATTTCAGAAACAAAATCAAGAGAAAATTTGAACAAATTGATTTATTTTTCCCTACTGCCACTTAAAAATAACAACAAACATCATATTTAAATTATTATTCGATTTTTATTTACACATAAACCATTTTCATTCTAATTTAATAATAAGGACATTTAAAACAAATATATTCAGAAATAAACACTCGAGTTAAGAGTATTTTGTGGCCTCAGAATTGTTATATACAACGAAACATACATATTGTATGATTATTCGTATCAACAAGAATTTCTTCATAGGTGTTTGTATGGAAACATAAAATTAGAGCAATCTGTCGTTCTTAGTTTTTTCAGAAAATGTACTTAAAGTTTACACCTCGGTATATAGCATATAAAAACCAATAAAAAATCGGTTTACCAATTTCCACAATTATGCGTAAGCGCTATTGAAGGGTGAGAAGAGAGATCCTGTCTTATCACCTTCACATAATAAGAGATAGACTTTTGTGGTAAAGAGATTTGAGGCCACAAAAAACCATTAACAAAAACACCCGTAATAAATTATGAAGAAAAAAGGTGGGTACGCTATAGAGAAATTAAACTAATAATATAATAATAATTATTATTATTATTCTATAATAAATATGACAATATCATTTAAAAACATAATTAAATTAAATATTGGAACTGAATTATTTCGACGTTGAGTCAAAATTGTCACGAACTGGGAAATGCGCGATTCACTTGTGGGAATCAAACCACCACATCTTACGCATGCTCAATAGAAAATAGTCCTAACTCAAGCAAGCAGGTATTTGAATCTTAAAAACTATGTTTACAACAAGAAGGTTCAATTTAGAAATACCCTCTTCAATCCGTTATTTTCTTTTTTCTATTAAACATGCAATATGTTACATTCCTTTTTACATAACATGCATTTACAAGACATGCATCTTTTCATTTATTTTTTTGATACTTTAAATTCGTACCGGGCAAAACCCTGACATCCAAATTATAGGAAAAATCATTAAATAATAAATATCATAGATTCACTGGTGTAAAATATTTCAAATTATATTTGCAGTGACAATTCTGACGTATTCATATAATAATTACGCATTGTACTGTTTTAACATATAAATACAACCAGTTCATAGGTATTACATAAAAGTACTGTCTATAAGACATATAATAGCTTGAATCTTGTGAGAAGATCAAATGCAAGATGGCAAGCCTTTGTAGATGTCTTTTGTAGCCGTAAAGTTGCGCAACAGTTGCCCAGGTTACTATAGTAGTGGCACAACAGTGGCGCAACTTTGGCGACGTATAATTATACAAAGACCCTAAAGAAGTTTCCGAGGTAGAAAATACTATACAAATAGTTTTCACAGACCTTTTTATGACCGTAAATATAGTACATGTGCTTCCCAATAGAAAATGTTATCGGGGAGACATGCCATTCATCCACTGTACACTTCATTCTCAACATTTCGAGTTTGTAAACTCAGCATTGAATTAAATATTAATTCTATTAGAATAGCCTTTTCATTGATTCAAAGATTATAATCATTTGAATCTACAAAAGAGATTACATCATGAGGTTTTCCAGTCACTCAACATTGCACTTATCGGACACCAATACCAAATCCCGAACTAACGCTGCCCATCCATTAATACTGTAGTTGTATTGACTACATTTAACGTACCCAGGTACATAATTCGACACAGACCATATCCCTCCCCCGTCCAAAGACAGTTCATCACTTGACGCAATTATTTTATAAAACTGTCTTTATAAACACTAAAACTCCTAGTACCCACGTGTTTACTAATTATTTGTAGTCAGAATAAGCAAGTGTGGCAAGAGAAAGTCGCGCGATAGTTGCGCAACTGTCGTGCGACACTTGTTTGTTTTGATTTAAATAATGTAGCATGGATGTTGGGACCGTGGCTATGAGAGACGCGGGCGTTTGCCGGGCGCTCGTCGTCACATCTCGATGGAGACGCCGGGCCCGCCCAGCCGGGTCTCTTTCACACGGAAACCGTTCTCCAAGAGTTGACCGCAAAGGGAGTCTACCACGGAACGCGGTGTCGATGGAGGTATCAATACCATCGCATATCTGCAACAAAGAAAATGCTATTAGACATTTAAAGTAATTTTACTACATTTTTATTACACAACTACACTAACTGAATAGTTTTCTAGTATTTAATATTAAGTTGCATCAGTGTTAGTGAGTTTATTATTTATTTTACTATTAATTAAAAACACGTATATGCTTAATTGTAAAATAAGTCACAGCACAACATTAATAAAAATAGTGCTATTATAATTTTTTTTTTATGTAACAGTTTCTTTTTAATTGTTCATGTGTTTGTTCATAACCATAACGACATTTTTACTGTCTATATAATATAAATAAAATGAGACTACTATTTTTAGATATTTCAACAGATGTTAAGATATTTTAAGGAAAATAAGTAAGATGTGGTATTTGACGTAAAAAGTTATATAATCACAACGTGCTATTTCATGGGAAAAATTGTTTCATTTCTGATATTTGATTCAAAAAGTATTGAATTTGACTAGTAAGTTACTAAACAATTGACAGCCAATCAAAGTCTATTGCTGGTCCCCTCTACACAAGGAGAACTTGCCGTAATGTTTATATGGCAGGCGAATTAGAGATAGCAGTTCTAGATTTAGACTAGACTAGACTTCTTCGTTCAGATTGATCAGAGAGCTCAATCTATGTAACATGCAGTCCCTTGGTCATTCGAACGACCCCCACCTTAAAAGTTGGTTTGACTAAAGTTTGAAGTGAGAAGGCTTCTACGAGTAATCTACCATGACCACACAAAAATATCACATCCTCTTATCTAAGTATAGTTAACAAAAGAAATACAAGTTTTATACCAAACCGGTTTTCAGAACATCATTGTAATGATGTCGTTGAACTTAATGAATGATGATGACGAATCAATAATAACTTCATTACTTATTGTGAGTGATCCTTCATAGCTTGTTAGTAAACCGGTTTCAAGAGCTATTTCCGAGCTTATAGGCATATCAAAGTCAAGCTAAAATCATTTATTCCGATTAAACCATAAACAGGTACTTTTGAAACGTAAATATAGAATATAGTGTCATTCAGTTCGTCAGTGAAGATAGGTGGTCCATGTATCAAGCCACCCCAATAGTAGTTACCAACACAGACGGGGCCCTATAGGGCTGATGTTCAGCCGGGGTTGCGGGTTAAGCGCAATAAGGCACCGCGGCACTCGGCCCAGAGCAGGAGAAGGAACAGGGGGGTTTTTAGTCAGTAAGAGTCTGACACTCCCTCTCGCCCGGCCCTGGGCGGGAGAAGTCATTTGATGATTTTCCCCTCACAAAAAAAAACCCCAATAGTTGTTGATTTTATGAGAAAAGTTTTAAGATATGGTCGATTTGTTTAGGTATTTAACTAGAGGTAAACAATCTTGATACGTCTAATTATAAAGTCGTTTAAAATACATACAAATATTATTTAGATTTAGTTATTACCTAATAATATCATGATGTATGTAAATAGCAAATTGTAAAAATTTTTAGACAACTTTTAGAATAAAGGACAAGCCAAGACTGTTACATTTATTAACATTCATCAAATTACCTTAACAAATGCACCATAGAACGTAACTAGGTATATAGTAGTACGTATATATGGTATACATACATTAGATAACTTCTTTTCTTTAACCTACCATGCCCTGTCTCTATATCATTTTAAGTTAGACTGGTAGTAAATCTGCCTGCCTTCGGTATTAAGTCTGCCATTGTGCAAAAAGTATTAAATAAATAAATATATCTTACCCGCCCCCTCCAGCTCCGGTAAGCTTGCAGGCGAGTCCCTTAGCGCGTGCGGCGCCCCGTATCGCCTCGAGAGCCGGGTGTGACACACCCAGGGCCGACAGCAGACAGTGGTTCATGTCCCACAGTTCCTGAATCAATTGAGAAATATCATGAGAATAAATTTTAACAATACGCAAATTGTTTTTGCGCATAATTATAAGATTGCGCAATTATTTGCGCATGTAAGAAAATAGTAAATTTTAAAAGACTGTTTTTTTTAATGCCAAAAAAAATATATTACAATAATCAAAATAAAATATTAATTGCAAGATTTTGATTTATTACGAAGAAAACCTATAAAAAATATAGTACCTAAAACACATCTAGATAAACAGGTAATAAAACGTTACATAGAAACAGGAAAATAAATAAAACTAAATCACACAATACATGTATTGTGTTATATCCAAAAGCCTAACTATATAAGAATATGTACCTAACGTAGATAGATATGTATGAAGGTAGCTAACATGCTTTCCAGTTTCCAAAATTAAATCTATAAGATCAATTGAATACTTTCATTGAACATTTGATTTAATTTTAAGCTTAGTTTAATTGTTATTCTAGCTAATTTAAGAGTATCTATCTATACATTATTATGTTTGGACAGAACTTTAATTAAAAGTATTTCACAAGGTGCCATCATCTGTATTGTATTGTCAACCATTTATAGATTTACTAGTTTATTATGTTATATAAAATAAAAAAATTCCAACGTAATCACACGTCATCCGCCATTATTGGAAGCGTACACAGATAAAATATTACTCATACAACACATTTGTGACGTGTTATGCTTGTCAGCGTGCAATTTGTAAACTGTTAGTGCAAGTGTTTTTTTACCATAAAAATTATAAAAAAACAACCATTACCACTTTACACTACTGGCTATTATAAAAAATAGCGAGTAGCCAATTCTCAGACTTACTGGATATGCATAGAAAATTTTGCAAAAATCAGTAGTCATGGTTTTTGTATTTTTAAAGCAAGCAACTCCATTTTTAGAAATCGTAGCCCTACTCTAGAATGTCCGTAGATACGCTACAATACCAAAGATGTGGATCACGCTAAGAATTCTTCAACAAAGCTTAGATACTTACTGCTAAATGCTGATATTCAGCATCGTAGTCTATTTCACACTTGCCACTGGAGAGTTTTTCCAAAACCTGAAACAGATACATTAACGTTTATTAAAGTTAAAATTAATCAACTTATAAGATAATATTTCTAATTTCTCTTTTCGCAATAATACGCGACGTCTTAACACAAACCATTTCATAAAAATAACTGTATGATTTTACAAAAAAAAAAAATAGGAAATAAATATCAGTCTAATATGATAATCGAAAAGTTTCTTATGCAGTTTCATTAACAAAACCATTCATCATTTCTAAACTATGAGTCTCTAAGCGTGGCTTGAAACAAGTCAATTTAATTGTGTTAATGGAGCACGCTTAACTATTTCCAATCTTTTCACTCGCTCTTTAAAGATGCCCAGATTATATAACTCAGGAAACACAGACTGGCTCTACTGGACTAGTGCGACCTACCTGCGTGGCTGTGTGCGCGACATGATCACAGGCATCAAGTATATGGTCGACGGCCGCTGTGTTCCTCTGCCTCAAGGCTGCAACCTTCACGACCAGAGCTCTGGTCTCCCTGGAGACCCGCGAGTCCACCAGTAGGACCCTAAGGTCCATCTTAATGTCTAAATGACGAGGCTTACTGCCTTTCTTGAACGACACCAAGGAACCGAAAGTGCATGTTGCGTTGTCTATACCTGTAAAAGAAAAAAAACATAAATTGATTTTAGAATGAAAAGGTAAATCGTACTCAAAGAGCCATTAGACCACGTACGGGGCCCTACAGAGCTGATGTTTAGCCGGGGTTGCGGGGCAAGCACACTGAGACACCGCAGCCTTGGCCTAGTCAGGAGCCAGGAGAATGAACAGGGGTTTTTAGTCAGTAAGAGTCTGGCACTTCCTCTTGCCTGGAAACCATTAGATGATTTTCCCCTGACATAAAAAAGTGGCTTTTAGTCCACCACAGATGGGATCCAATAGCGCTGATGTCCAGCCGGGATTGTAAAAAATATGAAATGCAATAGTGTGCCACGGCAGATGAAGGTGATGGAACAGTGTGGTTCTTAGTCAGTAAGAATCTTAAACATGGGGCGAAAGTCTTTGATGATTATCCCCTTCAAAAAGTAAAGGAAAACCTGAGCCAACGTGCGAATTCTTGAGAGAATATTTTTAAGTTTTCTATATGTAGGAATTCTAATACTTAACCACTTCCCTGTCCGATGAATCACATACATATGACTCATGGCTATTGTTTTACTATTGTATCTATTTTGTGTACAGAAAAAATATTAAGATGGAGTAGGTATGAAGTATGTATGTTTGTAAGTCTTTTATCCGGGTATTGCAGGGAAAGTTAGAAACTAGTATCACATAAGAGAACTATTAATAATTATTACCTACTGTGTGTGTGGATCGAACCTTAAATTCTAAGTAGTTGACTAGCCATGCTGTTATAACAATATCTATAGGATTTCTATACTTCTCATTTTGAAAATGAAACCACTATCCTAATCTGTTTATAATACCTACCGAGTGCACAGTCTTTGAACGAAGAATGGATATTAATTAAAATAGTCATATGTCAAGAAAACCATGCTAAAGTTATACCTACTTGTGCCAATGACGCACTTCATCCATCACAGTGTCCATAATAAAATAATGAGTTTATATAAGTATTTTTAACATTTATTTCAGGAAACAGAACACAATAAGATTACCAGGACATCAAGAGCAGAGCCTATATTTTTAATTCGCTCACAATTAATATAAAGGTTAAATAATTTAAAGCCAGATAAACTTGCGCCATAAAATCATTTCTGTTCAAAATAACAAGACCTAGCTATATCAATCCGCTACAAGCCGTCGGTTTTTTTGTCAATTTGCGTCAATTTTTTCATAAACTTCCTTATCGGAGTTGCAAATTCAACAACAATACTTCTAGTAAGAGAGCGGGAAATTCGCAAAACATCTGGATTTTTCGTATACAAGTTCAATTAGTACTTACATGTGTGTAAACAGAATCGAGGTACGTACGTCACGAGCGACGAAGCTGTTGAAACATTGGAACGAAACGGACGCTTTGAACGCGAATTATAAGCGTTGAGAAAAATCTCCGTTGTTTACCGACTAACTAACAATATGCAAAAGATATTATAAAGTTAACTTAATGTATTTGCTTATTGTCCACACCCACAGCTCGTACGTCAGTAAGTGCCCATTTAATTTGTCAAGCAATATTGAAACATCGTAATTAACATATTTGCGTTAACTAAGAGATGAATGCGTAATGTTCATTCAATATACATAGAATCCTTCAATATTTTATAAGCCAATATTATAATACGCATACAAATTACAAAGACGTTAGTTTAAAACCAAAATCTACATATAAATAAGAATAATAAAGTCGTAAAGTTATTGATTTAGTTTTAATTAGGTACACGCAGCTTGGTCAATATGAGAATGTGTGAATTCAATGTTAAGCCGGTTCTCGTTTTGCTTTACAAATAAATGAATAATTTATGAAGAAATAAATCATTTTCCCGCTTAAAATTCATTCACGTTCAATGTCTTGTGGGCCTAATGTGAGACTAATTACACGTATCTTTCATTTACTTGTTCGAGGTAACAAGTATGTACATTTCTACAGAATTGGATACACGCTTTCCCTAAATTGTTCGGAGAAAACCTTGTTTTGAGCGTTCAAGTATGTAATGCGTACACGCAAGAAACAAATAAACTATTAATATGGACAAGTCAAGGGCTCCGTTGAGGTTAGACCACTTAACTAAGTTTATCTTTGTTAAACAATTCGGACCAGTTTCGCGAGAATCCGTGACCGGATAGTACAATTACGAATGATCTGCTAATGATGTTTGTATTAACATTGAACTCTAGCTAAGCATTAGGTAAAATTATACAGCAAATGATCCTAAATGCCGAGCAACTTCCCGAACCAATTCTTTTTAAACAAAAGTACCGAAAACTTACAGAGAAACTTAGAAAAAATACCTCCCAATAAGACTGAGCAGACAATATCGTACATAAACCTAACCGCGCCATTTTCTTTTCCATGATATTCAAAAAAACAAAAGCACATTATCAGACAACAGAATATCGTTCCCACATTTTGGATAACCTAAGTACTTGTTAGATCCACATGTTGGTCACTGGCCAGAAACTATGCCAAGGTCCGTGTCTACGCTTTCTACGCACAATACGGAGGGAACCCATGATCATCAATCCGCGATCTTGTCCCACTTCACTTTAATAGAACTAGTTCGAAACGAGATCCAATTGAGACTAGAGGGCAAAAGATGGCATCGATAAACAGGAATTGATGTTGGAAAGTTTTTTGTAGATGTTATAGACAAATTACTATTATTATAAAAGTGGTCATTATCTATACTAGTATTATAAAGAGGTAAAATTTGTAAGTTTGTCTGTAGGGGGTAATTTTTGGTACCGCTGGTCGGATTGCCAAAATTCACTGATAGATAGCTACAATGTTTCTGAGTGCTATAGGCTATAAAATATCACGCCACGTGGAGGCTAAATGGAGTCGATCAGCTGGTGTAACCGCGCGAGAGTAGCTAGTCAAAAATAGGTAGGTACCTACATATTAAGATGAAATTGGATGGTGACCTTTAAGTTTTACATATATTCATTGAGAAACTACAAACGTATTTGCTTCGAGCTAATCCGATAAGGCGCTAATTATCATGGTCGGATAAACTTAACCTTTGTCTTTGCATAAGGATTATGCGCTTAGTAACAAAAAGTAATAATGAAGAGAGAATAGATGAAGTATTTACCACGTTAAATACCACAGAACCAATACACAGTGTCAGTAGAGGAAACAGTTTTCTGTCGAAAACATAGTACATGTAATAATGTAAGGAATTTAGGTGAGGCGTTATCAGCCCCTGACACCATCAATCACACCTTACAAAGATCAAGGAATAAGCCAATGCTAAAACACGGACAGATAACACTAACAAAACAGATAAAAGAAAGTACTTACGCTAAGATGATCGTAAAAAAACTTGGCATTTATGTTTTCAAGGATTTCAAATAAACTTAAGTTTTTGAGGTCAATGCAAACATATCTATGCGGCCCCTAATCCATCGAATATATAGCCAAGGTGCATCATAACCGGTCAAGGTTTTCTCAAATTAAATAATAAACCTTAAAACTGCCAGTCATAAGTTATATAATGTTTCGACAGTAATTATGATTGATTGAGGTCTATAGTAATTATACGAGTACGTTCATAGAAGGGACATACATTAAACCAAAAAAAAATTGAAATTCAACTGCATGTATGATTCGATTATTGGAAAATAACGTTTGAGTTTAACGGAATTTATTCCCCAAGCGAACGCCGGCGTTCGCGCACATATTGTCTCCAATTACAATGATTGAAAGGATAACAAATGGATCAATCTTTTTAAAAAATTGGAATTTGTAGAAGGAAATAATTGTTATAGTTAAGAAGATTATTCAAACTAATATTATAAATGCAAAAGTAATTGTGTCTGTCTGTCTGTCTTTTCTTCGCGCCTAAACTAGTAAACCTATTTGTGTTAAAATTGGTACAGACATAGTTTGGAACTCGAGAAAGGACATAGGATACTTTTTAAACCAAAAATCTGCAGGAAGTCACTATTCCACGCGGTCAAAGTCGCGGGCAAAAGCTAGTTCTTTCTTGGATTTTTAACCCACGATCTCTTAATAGTTAATTCAACTAAAATAGATTACAGTGAATCAGTTTTAACACCATCATCTTTACATTAGATATAGGCATATATATGCAGGCGCATATGTATTTGGATTTTTTACGAGTCAAGCGCCATCTGTCCACCGCAAATACCAGTGCCATGAGCTATTACAATTTTATATTTCGACTTGACCATCTCCACACCTTAAATTTGACTCTACCTTTGTTTGGGAGAAAGTTATGAAATGATTTCTCGCGCCTTGGGTGAGATGAGGGGGGGGGTGTCAGACAAGATTTATTTTAGGTTTAAACCATTAAATCAGATTTTGTATTTTGAATCTTATTCTTAAAACAAAAACTGGCTCAATGGTTTAGACCTACACTACAGAGAAACCTTGTTTTCTAATAAGGTCGTTAATGACTAAAAGCTACCCCGTTTTTTCTACAACTCCAAGGCAAAATTCGAATACATCAAGAAAAACAAGTAGGTACTAGGGATTCGAAAATAAGCACCCAAAAATATGTCAACTAATTAACTGAAGCGAATTGTGAAAAATTCATATCAAAATCCAGGGTCACGGGTTCGACGACCCCAAAAACGGTAAACAGATAAACAATTTCAAAATTAATGAGTTCAAAATGCTTATCAAATACAGAGTGAACCATGAACTTCAACATATCGTTACTAAATGAACGCGAAGGAATTAAATTCTCTATTTTGTATAATCTTACAAGTATCCCTCGGCTGACGTCATCCACTACTTGTATAAATAACTAAAACGATGAAAGTTAAGCAGCAATGTATTTAAATTTACTAACCAGACGGCTGTAACGATTAACATGTACACGTTTAAGACATCTTAATTTAAATACTTCACAAATTATTGCAGTATATGCAAACAAAAGCATGCTTCAAAAATGACGTTAATTGTAGGTAGAAGTTGGTGATAACTTATATTCCAAACCCTATTATACATCTTAGAACTACGAAAAAAAAAGTAATTAACGATCGTTTCTATTTGAAAAACAAAACTGACAAGAATTTATGGTTTACGTGAAAAAATATGCAGATAGATAAATGATAAATCGACTCACCTGAAGGTGACCCATGCATTATCCTCTCGCAGTTGTACGCCCATTCCGATATGATCTCTCTTTCGTTCATACTAAAGTCTTCACTGGTTTGATCATAAAAAGCGTCGAAACCAGTCGAGCTCTTTAATTTAAGCAGTTGGATGAGAGCACCAGCTAGGCAGACGGCAAAGGACGCTGAACTGCCAGTTCCCGCTCCAATAGTCAGTTCAGAGCCTAAAGAGATCTCCATGGACTTAACAGGAAGGTTTGTACTCCCGAAAATTCCAGAAAAAACGTAGAGGAAACTTCGTAGTGAGTTCTTTTGGTTGTTTTGTAGGGCATCGAAGTTTGGTTTAATTAAATGTAGGAACTCGTCTACTCTTCTTAAGTGACTGTCATGGTCTATTTTGTCTGGCAATCTCCAGGAGAATTTGCCTGTGATGCCTGGAGCTAGCTTTGGATGGAACAGGCTTTTTACTGTGGGTTCTAGTGGTAGGGTCTCTTCTAGTCCAACGCATGGCAAATGAATCCTTATCGTCGGTTCCACATGGTAGTTTACTTCCTGTAACAGAGATATTGTGATGGTTATTTTGTGATTGTCGTATGGAATGCTTGCCTAAACGCGTATTTGGAGTATACTGTCTTGACTAAGGGATCATATTATGCCATTAAATAATTAATTTTTCTCTAATACAATTACTACTTGTATAATTACACGCCAAATTCCAATAAGTATTAATTTAAGGTGTTCATATTTCTTGAAAATACTTTCTAAGTGTCGCTCTCACTATGCAATCAAAGCTTACATTAAAAAAAAACTATTACTAGAATTAATAATTCAAATGACGACCAATTTATAGAGCCCAAAGACACCGTTAAGTTTAAAAAAACGAAGAGGCGACTGTTCAAAACAAAAACATTATGACGTCACATTTCTAGTAAAAAATATAAATAATAGCTTTCAGACGTGAAGGATGTTGGACATTAAACGAAGTAATTATTGAAATGTGTTTATTCTTTAATAATTTATTGTAATAATAAAAAAACACAATACCTAAGACATTTTCTCGGTTATTTTCTTCCATAAATCATATTTTTTTTAATATTAATAATATTCAGTTAAAATGGACACTCACTTATTTATCTGATTGTCATCTACATTAATATTTACAAATGTAATGCCTAAATTGTTGGCGAGAATATTTAAAAATGTACTCTGAATATATTAAATATACTGCGTAAATAGGTACTTTTTGGTTGTTTAAGAATGTTTATGCTCTTTGCGGCTGAAATGAAAAACACCAAGGTACTGATGTCGTTAAAAAAATTGTAATTTTTCAGAGCTAAAAGACACTTATTGCATAAAAACTTACAATCCGCATTTAAGAGCTTTATTAAGATGTCAGAAAACAAAATTCCGTCATTTTAGCTAGACGCTTAAATTTTTTTTCTTGTAGGTATTATTTCCTATTTTTTTCTTAAGGTCGATATTGCCAAATTCGACACACACTTAGCACTGTACCGACATTGCTAATGTTTAAACACCATAAAAGGACCCAACAAAATTGTTTGTATAGATTCTATACCTACTCTAAAACAGATATTTGCCTTCATAAAATAATATTTAACTTAGTTTCTCCTTAAATGTTTTTCAGTAAACGTGTAGGCAGTAAAAGGACCAAACTTTCCTATGCCTATCAGAATTATTCATACATAGACATGAATGCCTAAAAACTATTTTAATATTTGCTACACTTGTCCATTCTGGAAATGAAAATCGGAAAGCGCACATTTTTGGCGCAACCCGACTTCATAAGCATGGTGTATACTATTCATTTTGTGGGAAATGCATCTAGAGAGAACTTACTCTAGCCACATTAAAAAGCAAACAAGTAAATTCAAATTTTCAAAACCCTAAAAATTCATGGAGAAAAGCAACAACCACAAAAAAATAAATTAACAGAAGAAAAAAAAAACAAAGAAAAATAAAAGAGAATAGGTATCGTAAAGGCACGATAAATGAAAAAAGGAAAAAGAAAAATAAATTTGTGTTTAAAATTTAAAATAAGAAAAAGAATGATTACCTTTATAACAATAGAGCTCCTCAGTCCTAGACTGACGGCGACCGCTGTCTTCCCGTACACTACCGAATGCTCTCCATGGAGGATCACCTTACCGGGAGCCGATACACTGACAGTGTACAAATTATCAATTCCGTTCAACATTTTTAACAAGTCTTTTTACACGCAAGGATCTAATAAAAACAACATATAAATTTTGTTCTACTTCATTATTATTTCCAAATTACATTTCAAGACTTTTGCGCGTTCCACTGTTCAACCGTGAGCGTCTTTTGCGTAAATGCGTGTATGCTCTTCAGTTCTTCCTGAAGTACTGTGTTCACCAATCTGTGGAGCGAATTATTATACTTTAATAAGTATAATAGATCGATTGTTATTCTAATGGAGACATATGAACGTGTTTGTTAGAGATACCGATCTTGGTGAATACAAAACTGTATTGTCATCTTATCGTTTGAGTATTACATTTTTATGAATAGTTTTTCGCATTTCATTGACTTTTTAACCTTTTTTTTTGTTGTTTCGTGCAGTTTTTTCAATTGCAAACGTCAGAGTGCTATCAGTCAGGGGTTGCGCATTGTTAGTTCTAAGAACATTACAGTTTTCAAAGGATGTGTTTTGAATTTTTATGGCAATGTCTTTGTCTAAGGCACATCGATGACGTCTTGGATAGGGTTGTTTAGCATCCTCTTTGAATTTAAATTTAGCAAGATTATCTCTGGTTTTTTGCGTCGGTTTTCCTCATAACGAACAGGAAATATCAGGTCATCTATACTAATATTATAAAGAGGTAAAATTTGTAAGTATGTATGTTTTTTTTTGTTTTTTTTTAAACGTTGCCTTACATTAGGATTTTCTCCTGCGTCGTGGGTGCGTTTACAAACATACAATTTCACATGCACATCACACCCAGACCGGGAACAACAATCTGTGGATCACACAAAGAGTTTTTCCGTGCGGAAATCGAACCCACGACACGTTGCGCGGCAGCCAGTTGCCCAGCCACCGCGCCAACCGTGCAATCAAACCAACCGAGTTTGTATGTAGGGAGTAGTCTTTGGAACCGCTGGTCGGATTGCTAAAATTCTTTCACTGATAGATAGCTACAATGTTCCTGAGTGCTATAGGCTATCATCAACAATATCAAAACATCACGCTACGATCAAATGGAGCTGAGCAGCGAGTGAAACCGCGCGAGAGTAGCTAGTGTTATATATAAATGATTTGAATATTAGAAGAATATTAATTTCATTCTATTCTTTGGGGATCCTAATTAAAAAATAAACAGTCTTAAATTGTAGTAATGCAGCTATTTCTAACAAAACTACATAGTAACAAGATTAAAAATAAAGAGTTCCTATCGCAAATGCACAGAGTATATCCATTTTGCTAATTCTTGGCATGTCTCCAGGGTTTTTATTGCAATTTTTGCACGCACGTAGTATGCACAATGACCTTCTCATGGTCGCATTACGGCTCAATATCGGTAACAATACGATATTATGCGATATTGTCTGATTGTATTACTTGGACCAAGTAGACCTTGTTAAGTGACCAATCGGGGAACTCTGGGAATACCAATAACAAATCAAACTACATCTACCAGGAAAATTATGCGATAATATGCACTGACCGTCTTCCCACGCACTATAATATTGTGCAATGATATTTCTAATGATTTTCGGAGTGTTTTTAGGTGGACATTTTGAAGGTTACACCCACTGCAAATATTTTTGCGTTTGCTATCTCATCTAATATTTTTGGACATCGAGATAATAGTCTATTTAAGCCGTAGAGGAATGTATATCTAGTGTAATCTACACAGGTACTTAACTAAACAAACTGGCACATTCACATGCCGAAATTCTGCGTATCATAATTGTTTATAGCATCGTTCAAAAGGGAACGAGTGAGTCACTGAATGATTTGATCCCGGCTGGTGGTTTTACAATCAGTGCATTGCTGGGTGTTAATTCGTGTTCATGGTCTGTGCACTTCAAATTTATTGCCTTTATTTATTCCTTTGTTGTCATTTTATAGGGTCAATTTATGATCTCCTCTTTTACACGTGACTTTCGCTCGTGATCGAAGGAAACGTGCTAGTCTAAAGATGCGCAATACTTACAATGTTATGTTTCTTTTAGGAATTAGATTGATTTTGTTATTCCTATGACTTCTATCGTTAATTGACTCAGACATCATGTCTACAACCATGTTTTTCATAGATTGAAATTAGGAAACATGACCCCTGACTGAACGCATTGTAAAAGTGGGCATTGGCAGGGTTTGGGACAATTCTTTTGCGAACTTACCTATGCCTGGCAAGTAACGGCTTCCCTTGGAACTTGTCAGACACGATCAGAACAGTAAACTTCGCGCCACAGCCGTCACTATCATCCGTCACCTCCTGTGAACAAAGAGACGATTGGTCAATATTATGTCACACACATTCTCCGTTACATCATTGGTAGTTACACTGGACAATATGCTGGAAAGACGAGAGGGGGAAAATCGTCAAGAAATACGTTAGCAACAGCGCTAAAGACTTATGACGAGAGCTATTTAACAGACACTAGACTGTTTTCAAATCACCATATAAGTTTCTATAGGTTATTATAAAGAGTTTAAAGTCATTGCCCATTCCTATGTTACATAGCAAAGCACAAACTACCGTTTAGCATTTTACAACAGTCTGTCGTCTGGTGTAATTCTGCGTGCTATTTCATTTGGCATTCTATAGACGGGCGACATGCCTATGTGTACACCGACCATTACTATATAGCTGACGCCATGTTTATAAGCTAAGAGGCTATCTCGCATGAATGGTTCTCCTTTCATAATAAAACCTAAGAAATGCAGTACTCACAGTTCAGAAATGTAAATGAAGTTGTTTTCACACAATTATTTGTTTGAGGATACTAAATAAACCACACCTACGTTGTATTTTAGCTGCGTAACGTCCTACGCAACTGACTTGATGGGGGAACGTGTTGGCTTGCGAGGAAACGGGCTAAACCCGTCACTACTTGTGAAATATTACGATAGAGAAATATCGGACCGTCTTAGTCTACTCCACGCATACACGAACGTGTAACCTCCATGCATTTAATTAATACAGTACCTGGCAATTGATATTGCAAAACTATAAAAATAAAAAAATCTGTGAAGTTGTGGATAATTCTGGTTATAAGAAAAAACTAGGTAGTTTTACTTGCTACTCGGTTTCTATTGGTGATGTTTTGTAGCCTATAATACTCGATAAAATGACTTTCTAACACAAAATAATGGTTTTGGAAATTGGCCCATTTAAACAAAACAAACAAGCAACTTCTTGAGCTTCTACTACATTATGGTTTTTTTTTGTGAGGGGAAAATCATCAAATGACCTCTTCCGCCCAGGGCCGGGCGGGAGGGAGTGTCAGACTCTTACTGACTAAAAACCCCCCTGTTCCTTCTCCTGCTCTGTGCCGAGGTCGCGGTGCCTCATTGCGCTTACCCCGCAACCCCGGCTGAACATCAGCCCTTTAGGGCCCCGTCTGTGGTGGTCTATTGGCTCTTTGAGGCGCGCGCGGAACGCTACGCGCCGTACGCTCGGGACTACATTATGGTAAAAATTAAATAGAAAAGGTACTCTAAGGTCGATGTGCAATATTTATCGTCAGGTACTTACTGTACATAGAAGACACTTACGAATCGTACTGCCCAATACTTTAACCTATTTGGATCTAACTAGACCGTGCACAGACATTGTTATTCTATCTACGATCGCAGTTACCATATACAATTTTCAGGTCTATTTTTGGGATTGCCTACGGGTTACTAAATGAATTTGTGATATCAAACGCAGTGTCAAAACAGGAAGCCCTTGACTGATTCTATTGCATTCATTAATATGTTGCGCTACATAAACGCTTATCTATTTTTAGACAGTCGAACATGATACAAGATAAAAAAATATGTGTCAAATACATCATCAACATCATCATCAGCCTGTTGTCGTCCGATGCTGGACACAGGCCTCCCCAATTGCACGCCACTGAGCTCGATGTTCAGCTCTTCTCATCCAACCACTGCCAGCCACCCTGCTAATGTCGTCAGTCCACCTAGCTGGAGGGCGCCCTACACTACGTTAGCCTAGGCAAACACATGTTAGTATAATATAATTAATTTTCCAGCTTTAACTATCATCGCCAGCGTAATTTTCGGGAAAGAAACACGTTACAATGAGCCTGCACTAACTTCGTAAATTTAAGTTTCTAATAAGAGGCGAGGTTGAATTTCTTGCCAGTTCTTTTTTATAAGAATACACGACTTAGGACATGGACCGAGCTTCTTCACTACATAGTATAAAACAAAGTCACATTCTCAGCCCATATATGCCTATGTATTCTTAAATCTTAAAAACTACGCAGCGGATATTGATGAGGTTTTTAAAATAGATATAGTGATTGTGCCACCATAGTAGAGAAAGTTAGTAGCAGCCCTGCACCTATGTAAAACCGGGGCGATTAATTGCTAGATGACAGATAAAGTAATGGACAATCCCATTATTACTATTTTTATTTTAAAAAGTATTGCGTCACATTTTCCCGTTAGCAAACAAAATCTGCAACGGTCACCTACTGGACTATATTCGTTTGATTTATCACGAGTTTAGTACACATTGGTTAGGCCCTGACATTGATTGGAGTCGAGACGAGAGAAATTGATGTGAATTGATCACAATTGCCCTGGACTCTTACCAAGGATACACTAGTAATTGGAGCAACGTAGATCGAACTTCAAAAAGTTCCTTGGTGTCAATTACATACATTGTTCGTTTGATTATTAATTAAAAGGGTAGAGTAAAGCTTCATTCACGTTTTCCTGCACGTGACAAAAAAATATTATTTTTTATTGGAAACGAGCTTTCGGATTACTTGGTTGTAAGCAATTAGCGCCGCCCATGGACACCATAACGGAGTAGTTACGAGTCGTTGCCAACCTTTTGGGGATTAGGGATTGGGTGCGGGGGAAGGATTGGGCCTTCGGTAACCTCACACACACAGCGAAACAATACGCTGTGGTTGTTTCACGCCAGTTTTATGTGAGGCCATGGTATCACTCCGGTCCACCTGACTTATTCGTGCCGAAACATGGCTCTCGAACACTTATTAAAATTAAAAATCTTTCGAATGTTATAAAGTGGTAATCTGAACACTTGACCACTGGCGAGTAACGATTAAATAAACTTAACCCGCCAATCAAACATCCGTAAATAAGAATCTGTAAACATCCGCAGATACTCGCTCGTTGCCTAGAGCAATCCACTACACTCATCCGACGTATTCATAATTAATTACTGTAATAACTAAATACTCTTTACGTAATTTTGGAAAAAGAATATGTGGCCGTTATTAATGAAAAAGTATTTTAAAATTGGCATATTAATTTTCTTTAACATGATTAATGTAAGATGTAACGTAATTATAGTAATTTTAAATTTTATATTATTAATACGAAAGTAACTCTGTCTGTCTTTTCTTCACGCCTAAATTACTGAGCCTATTTGTGTAAAATGTGGTACAGACATAGTTTGGAACTCGAGAAAGGACATAGGATAGTTTTAAACCAAAAACCTTCAGGAAATCACTATTCCACACGAACAAAGTCGCGGGCAAAAGTTAGTTGGAAATATTCTAAACTTTATCTATGACAAGTTTCAGCTAAATTTGTTAAGTATATTAAGTATCTGACCCAGACCCATAGATTGTTACAAGTCATAATATCTTAATACTTGGTTTGCAACATAATCAGTGCTTGTCTTAATCGGGGTTCAAAACCTACAATACTCTATCGGACAATTATATTATATCTCTCGTAGTGTATTTAATTGCTATTTATTGTTGAGATTAATTAATAATTTCATTCGCTACTTACTCGATCTTAACCTAATCAGTTAGGTCACGACATTTTCAAGCACGTTGTTAACACGTTTATTTGATACTTTAGCTTCTCTCTTTGTTTTAATATTTCCGATAACTATAATCTGTGGAAAAAGAAAAAGCTGTGTCTACGGCCCACGCGTGCTGTAAACTTCAACTGGGATTTATTGATACAGATCAAACTAAGCGAATTACTGTTTTATGTAAACTTCTTGAATCGTAACGTAAATACGAGTATCTGTAGTGATATTTAAGTAGAAATCATAAAAAATTACGACTATCTGGTTATTGTCAATGATGGTACACTAGAAGTATCTAATTGAATAATTAAAAATATTGTAGAAGGAAAATGCAAAACAGCAAATTAAGACTTAAGACATCGTGAAGAAGGCCACACCGTGCCTTATTTAAGTTTGATTTCCAAAACGACATTTGCTTTTACATTTATATCTGTAGCGATAAGATTTTCTTTTATATTATGCTTAGCTTATGTACGCTGCTATTTTGAAATTATTTACAAACAATATGAATATGAAATCTCTTATGATGATTATTGACTAGAATACTAAAGGGACACCCGTTTTAGGAGATCATTGCTATAAAGAAGGTGATAAGCTACTTTAAATCAATAGAGATCGTAATGAACCTGGACAAAACCTAACAAAATACTAATAAATTACAAGATAACCAGTCGTAAAAAGTAGTAGATAATCGGACCCTAAACACATCAGAGGAAGAGTTCCCAAACCATGTAGGATATCAGTCAACGGCACCAAAACTACCAATAAAACGAATAGGCCAAACGGATTTTTTTTTTGCGCTCACCGTTTTCACTCATCTCTGCATCACCCAAAGGTCGGACTGGTAGACAATGCCTATGGCATTAAGTCCGCCTATGTACAAAAGTTTGTGTGCATAAAGCTTAATGAATAAAAATAACTGAATTAAACTAAATTACATAATGACCAAACCAGGTAGAAGAACAAAGACAATGCTTACAAACTGAAGGATACAGACCTCCATACAATAATACAAGTAAATCAAATTTTCACGGTCAAATCTCATCAATGATAAATAATAATACATTTACAACATTTCCCAATTTGCTTTCATCACATCTTACGTTATCATCATCAAAATTAAATAAACATGCAACCTTCGAAAGCGACATTGGTCACACAAGCATTATGATCGAAGTTATTTAATTTCGACCACACAATTGTAAGGTTAATCGCTCTTTCAATTTAACCTTGAACAATATTTAGGTGAACAAAGATTACAGTAGCATATCATTATGATACATTTGAATTAAACAGATATGTTCTTGACCGATATGATTATTTATTCATAATCACGAAATATATACGCAGGAGGGGTACCTACTCTCGGTCTAAAAATATAGCAGTCTGACGACATGATATGAATATAATTAGTAATAATCACTACATAGTATTATTTCTTTTTTTATAAAAACGTTGGCCCA